ACTTTGGTTGTTTTAAAGTGCTTAACAAATAAAGTTGGATTGGATTGGATTGGATTGGATTGAATGTTTGAGTGTTACATAAAGCTTTCACCTTATTTTGTTGATCTGCTGACAGATGGCCTAATTCAAGCTCAGTGGGGCCTGGTGAGGGCAGGTATTGATCATCTACAGCCTCTTCCTCCTCTACAGCTCTGATCAGCAAAACCTCCGCCTTCCTCTCAAGTCTTTCAGCCCACTCCTTCAGCAGGTTAACATGCAGCACCCTGCTGGAACGTGGTCGCCCTGGCATGGCAACTTGGTAGGTGGTAGGCCCCAGCTGCTTCTCCACCTCAAATGGTCCTTGCCATTTTGCCAGAAGCTTGCTGTCACTGGTGGGTAGCATGACTAGGACCTTCTGACCCACGACAAAGGTCCTCTGTCGTGCTGATTTATCATACCAAGCTTTCTGGTACTGCTGGGCCTCCGCCATATGCTGCTGGGCAAGTTCCGCCATCTTCTGTAGCCTCTCATCTGTACAACATGGGAAATGATGTTAACACCCCCCTCCCTCCCCTGGTCCCCCTCCCAGGCCTCTTTCAGCAAGGTCAGAGGTCCCCTTACCTCATGACTGTACAACAGTTCAAATGGGGAAAACCCAGTAGAGGCCTGGGGGACTTCCCGGTATGCAAAAAGGAGGTAGGGGAGCCATTGGTCCCAATCAGACCTAGTGTCACTGATGAACTTACGGAGCATTTACTTGAGGGTGTGGTTGAACCGCTCCGTCAGTCCATCTGTCTGTGGATGGTAGGGGGTTGTTCGCAGACTCCTGATGCCAAGCAGTTGGTAAACCTGTTTCAGGAGCGTGGACATAAAGTCAGTGCCTTGGTCAGTTAAAATCTCTTGCGGGAAACCAACTCTGGAGAAGAACTGCACCAAGGAGAATGCCACCGTCTTTGCCTTGACCGACTTCATGGGAAACACCTCAGGATATTTAGTCGCATAGTCTGTGATGACCAACATGTAGCGGTTTCCACTTTTGCTTTTTTCTACTGGACCAACAATGTCCATACCAAGACGCTCAAAGGGGGTACCAACAATGGGGAGTGGCTGGAGTGGAGCTCTACATGGTGCTTTACTTGAAGTCTTCTGGCACTGAGGGCAAGTCCTACAGAACTGGCTAACATCTGCCCACAAACCAGGCCAGTGAAAGTATCGTTTAATACGATACTTGTGCTTCCCTAGGTGGCCAGCCCAGGGAACAGAGTGGCCCAAGACAAGTACTGTGTCTCGGGCTGCTTTGGGAACCACTAGCTGCTTCACTGGTCCATGTTGATGGCAGAGAATACCCTTCTGCAGGAAATACTCCTCTCCAGAACTGTACTCTAACTCACTCTCCACCTCTCTCTCTTTAGCACTCCTTAATAGAGCCGCTAAACTGGAGTCCTTTTGTTGCATCTGAACAATGTCTGAAGGTATTTTAAAACCTAGTGGCAAATCTGGAGCTACTGCATCTGATGGTGGAATGACAGTGTGCTGGAATCTTTCCTGCCTCCTTCTACTGCGTGACTTCCGGGACTTCCCCGGCTGGGTGTCTAAGTCAGCATCATAAAAAGGCACGGCACTGAGGGTTACAGAGGGCTCATCTACCAACTTGGCCTGAGCTCTGGTTACAGCCACATTACACCTAGTAGGTTGGCTTAATAGATCAAACAAAACTGGTAGGTCGCTACCCAACACCACTGGGAAGGGAAGATTGTCAGCCACTCCAATGTTAAGAAGGTATGGTTGCTCTTGCACTTCAATGTAAATGTCAGCTGTGGGGTAAGGCTTCTTATCCCCATGCACACAGCAAATGGGGATAGTTTCAAGGGTGCGGATCACATTAGAGGGGACAAACTGCCTGTGTACCAGTGTTTGATCACTACCAGAATCCATTAGGGCCTTCAGAGCTTTACCATTAATTTTGACAGTGATCATTTTCATGGATCGATCATTTTTTGGTGTAAGGTCATTTTGACGGGGGACAACACACATTTGAGTGAACTTAGCAGGGTTCTTTGGGCACATTGGTTTTGTGTGACCTTCCTGTCCACACAGGTAACAAGTGGGTACTTTGTATGAATGTTTTGTTTGTGAATTCATTGCCTGGTTCTCCCTCATGGGAGCCTTACCCACGCTAGGTGGTGCCCTCTGATATTGTTAAGATGATGTAGGCCTGCGGGTGTCCTTTGTAGCTTTCCAGGCAGAGTAACTCCATGGTTGACCTTTTGTCCGGGCAGCCACGAACACATCTGCCAGCGAAGCAGCCTCTGCAGCCGTTGAATGGTCGTGTTCTTTTATCCATACCTGAAGCTCAGGAGATAACATTCGTAGATACTGTTCCAATATAATTGTTTCCCCCACAGCTTTAACCGTTCTACCTTTTGGCTGTATCCACTTCCCATACAGCTCCTTCAACCTTACATACAACTCCTTGGGAGACTCACCAGGTTCAACATCTGTGGAACGAAATCTCTGCCTGTGGGCCTCAGGGTTAATGTCATATTTTTTTAGGATAGCATCTTTAACACTGTCATATTCATGAGCATCATCAAGGTCCATATTTACATAAGCACCTCTAGCTTTACCAGTGAGCAGTGGAATAAGGCGAAAAACCCAGTCAGATCTAGGCCACTTACATGCTGCTGCAATCCTTTCAAAAGTTACAAGAAAGTGTTCAATATCATCACTCTCTGTCAGCTTTTCTAATCTAAGCTCTTGGGGGAACCGAAACTGACCTGATGAAGAATTGACTGGAGCACCCTCAGGTGTCAGGGCTATTTGGGCTTGGGGACCAGGTTCATCTGAGTCAAGGTCAGCTGATGTGTGCTCCAGGGTTGGAGAAGTGCGAGCTTGTACCTCGAGCTGTAGCAATTGGAACTGATGTTGGAGTGCCTTAAGCCGCTGCTCCTGGCGGTCAGACTCCTCCCTCAGTCGGTTATCCCGGGCCTCTTGCTGGCCCATGTGGGCACGGAGAATGCTAGCTATGTCCACCAGCGTTGGTTCTCTGCTGTCTCCACCCTCAGTGCCTGCGACTCCTCCTGTGTCTCCTGTGCCAGTGCCGTGTCCTTGCCCCTCTTGTCCAGTCTGTGGTTCCCGGGGCCCCCCACAATTTCCTCTTGTAATCATTCCTCCACGCTACATTGTAAAAAAAAACAATCAAATGCAGGGGGAAAAAGAGAGCGAGAAAAAAAAAAAAAAAAACCTTGTCTTTCTCAACCAGCTAATCCCACCACTGCCACCATATGTCAGGGACCGAGCTGGCAGGCATGAGGAGTCAAAGGTAAATTTTCACAAAAGTCCTTTTATTCACAAAAAAATGTGAAAATAATCAATTTACAAAATATACAAAATGTTCTGGGGCGATAAAAGAGGTCAACTAAACAGAACTTAACTCAGGCTACATTAACTGAACTAACTGAACTAACCAAACCAACACACCAAACAAACCCACCCAAACTGAGACATTGGGGAAACTTAAATAGTGGCTGATCAGGCCACTCTGACACACAGGGGGAATAGACTAAAACATAACATTTAAACAAACCATAATACCCTCCAATAATATCCAGATAATGCAGCCAAATATTAACTAAGGAAAATACTGAAATACTAAACATCAAAAAGCATAGTAATCAGAAATAACTAAACTCAAACAAAGAGAATCACTTCCTCTCCACAGGATTCCGGCCAACATGGTGTAGCCCAATTATCGGCCAAACCCCTTTTAAGTGTCTCTGAATCTGCCGGCACTTCCTTTGTCAGCCATGCAACATTGTCAGCAGCAGCACCCAGGAACTGGTAACTCAAAGAAAAATGAATTAATGCAATGAAAAATAACCTGAATGAACCTAATAATACTACCGAAAATTGACAACAAAAGTTAACTAATTGTGTGCACCCAAAAAGATAACTACTGTCAAAACCGGATAATAAAACTATGTATTATGAATCCAAAATCTGTGTCCCGTTATTTATTGTCAATCGTGTCTAATGTTCTAAGCTTAAATATAATCAAACAAATGAAACTTTGTGCTTCAATGTGTGGCTGCTAGGGCGGCCATCACATGTCTTATCTTCATCTTAAGAAGTGTTTGCATTTCACATCTAATGATACCACCCGAAATAAGTGGTAATTGAATACAGTGTTTGAGTGATACCGGTCCAAAAAATGTACGGCAGAGAAGAAAGAATATGAAGCAAAATAAAGACTGAAGATAATGATTAGTGTCAAATTATTGGACAAAAACATAGGAAATGAAGTTAATATCATTAGACCTCTAATCTTTATCTACAGCACTGACCTCTGCCCTATATCTATAGCGCTGGCCTTTGTCCTGTATATAGCACTGATCTATATCAGCCTTTATTTCTGTAACTTAGGTATTGTCAAATGACCTCAATCCAATTTTTATTAACTGTCTCTAAAAGACAATTAGTGGACAATTATTTGATTTCACTAAAACTTATGAAACACAAACAACACAAACAATAATGGAATGTTTTTAAGCCTATATAATTTATTTGTCCTATATCAGTAAAATTGGCATCATCACAGATCCCACCATATAAAAATGTTTCTTTGAGTTATTAACGATTCATAAGTTATTAGTAAAAACATAAAACATGCTTAAAGCAACCACATGGTGGCATTGTTATGAAGAAAATCAAACTCATTCTACTGGGGTTTTTTTGGTGATGATATTTTTAAAAATAGAAAATATGGTGCATATATATATATATATATGTTGTGCATATAGTAATTATAGTAAGAAATGTATAGTCACTGTGGACACCTGAACGCATCAAACACCTGAACGCAGCAATAATATAATAAGTAATAAATATCAACATAAATATAAATGAGTTGGATTTAATGAAACAGTGTAACGGAGGCACTGATCACCTTCCATACACACTGACAGGAAGAGGCTTCAAACACCTCCATGTTCCACCAATCTCTCTCTCTCTCTCTCTCTCTCTCTCTCACTCTCACACACACACACACACACACAAACACACACCGTGCAGCAGCAGCGGCAGCAGCGGATCTCCGGCAGAAAACAACCGCTCTCAAATCTGCGCTAATTCAGGGACAACGGACCGGAACCGGACCTGAACCGGGACTAACCGGGACGACAACCAGGCAGTTGTGTCCGTCCGGTGAGACGGCTCCGTTAGCGGGTCCGGTTCTGTTGCTGGAGGACGAAACGTGACCGGAATCAAAGCGGATCGATGGTCTGAGGTGAGACCGCCTGTGTGTGTGTGATCAATTAAAACTGGATCAGAACCGGATCAGAACCGGTCTGTACATCCGGTCCACTCTGAGCCGGGCTGCAGTGTGTGTGTGTGTGTGTGTGTGTGTGTGTGTGTGTGGGATGATTACTGCAGAGCCGTTTACCTGTCTGTCTGTCTGCCCGTCTGTCTGTCTGTCTGCGGCTCTCGTGCTGCTCTCTGATTGGTCGGACGTTAATTGGCGTCAGGAAGCAGATCTGAGGTGTGTTTGGTGTTCAGGTGAAAACATGTGATGATGATGATGATGATGATGATTTACACAAACCTATATGATCAATATCATAACGTTTGTGATGTCACAGATGAGTAACAAACAGGTGAGCAGCCAATCAGCATCCAGGTTCTCAACCTCTGGGTCGGGAATCCTAAAGGGGCCAAATGTTTGACAATCAGAGACAGGAAGTAGCTCTCACTGAATATATCATATATTTTATATTTTATATTTTATATTTTATATTATATTATATATTTTATATTATATAATATATTTTATATTATATTATATTATATATTATATTATATTATATATTTTATATTTTATATTATATTATATATTATATTATATAATATATTATATTATATTATATTATATTTTATATTATATTTTATATTATATATTATATATTATATTATATTTTATATTATATTATATTATATTATATTCTGTATTTTAGATTATATATTATATATTTTATATTATATATTATATATTATATATTATATATTATATTATATATTATATTTTATATTATATTATATTATATTATATATTTTATATTCTGCTTTAATACATGTTACCAGGTTCCCTGTCTGTTTGGGGGGGGTACTGGTGGTTCTGTGTGTGTTACTGTGTGTGTGTGTGTGTCTGTCTGTGTGTGTGTGTGTGTTACAGTGTGTGTGTGTGTTACTGTGTGTGTGTGTTACTGTGTGTTACTGTGTGTGTGTGTTTGTGTGTGTGTTACTGTGTGTGTGTGTGTGTGTGTGTGTGTGTGTTACTGTGTGTGTATTACTGTGTGTGTGTGTATGTGTGTGTGTGTGTGTGTGTGTGTGTGTGTGTGTGTGTTACTGTGTGTGTATTACTGTGTGTGTGTGTTACTGTGTGTGTGTGTGTGTGTGTGTGTGTGTGTGTGTTACGTGTGTGTGTGTGTGTGTTACTGTGTGTGTATTACTGTGTGTGTGTGTGTGTGTGTGTGTGTTACTGTGTGTGTATTACTGTGTGTATGTGTGTGTGTGTGTGTGTTACTGTGTGTGTATTACTGTGTGTATGTGTGTGTGTGTGTGTGTGTTACTGTGTGTATTACTGTGTGTGTGTGTGTGTGTGTGTGTGTTACTGTGTGTGTATTACGTGTGTGTGTGTGTGTGTGTGTGTTACTGTGTGTGTATTACTGTGTGTATGTGTGTGTGTGTGTGTGTGTTACTGTGTGTGTATTACTGTGTGTTGTGTGTGTGTGTGTGTGTTACTGTGTGTGTATTACTGTGTGTGTGTGTGTGTGTGTGTGTTAACTGTTTTAATCAGTTTCAGTTTTTGATTTGACTTCAAACTCATTGATATATTGAGAATATATTATTATAATATTTTATATCTATATTAAAATGAATAATATATATAATATTTATTATATATATAATAAATATAATATATATTAATATAGATATAATATATATATTATATATATAATAAATATAATATATATTAATATAAATATAATATATATAATATATATATATATTATATTTATATATATATATATATTTTATATTTTTTTTTATATATATAATAAATATAATATATATTAATATAAATATAATATATATATTATATATATATTAATATATATTCAGAATTTAAACGTTCCCCGAGGGTTAAAGTTGAAGATATTTCCTGTGTTTGTAATTATTGTTATTTATTTTATTATATCTAATTATTATTATTATAGGTGGATGAGGATGATGATGATGAACTCAGAGAAGATGAAGAAGAAACCTCCCAAGGACAGTCTGACTCTGCTGCCATGTTTTTACTTTGTGGAGGTGAGACCGCCGCAGTGACATCATCACTCACTGTGACATCATCACTCACTGTGACATCATCACTCACTGTGACCTTAAATGGATGCAGCCGATAAACACAGGAACGACGGCTCCGTTCCATTTAGTGTCTCCTCCCCTAAGTGGAATGCAGCCATC